TAAATTATAATAGTGTAATCATATATTAATTTTTATTTTTAATAAAAAAATTATATTATTTTAAAATCAAATACAAAATATTTTAATCTTTTTATCTAATTAACCAATCTTATTTATTAAATTAATATATTATTTCTAACAGTGTTGTGTGGGGTTTTGATTTTTTTTAATAATTTTTTTAGGGAAAATTATCTGATTGGTTAGTTTTTAATTTATTTTATTGACTTCCAAATTAATTAATTAATTGGGAGGTGCGGAAGAACATGTTGGCGGGGTTGTCCTGGGATGGAAGAAGGGCTTGGCATTGTCAAGGGACAATCTACAAGGTGACTGTTGATGTCTGATTGTTTGTCAAATATGAAAAAAATAAAATAAAACCATCTTTATGTTTTTAAAGCCAATAACCATTGGCCCATATATATATATATATATATATATACATACATAAAATTTATTTATGGTATTAGACAGTTTAGATCGGTATCTATCTTCTATACTGAACGTTAATCATTCTGAAGTTTAGTGTTGTTAAGTCTTCTATATATGCGAGATTGTCAAGTGTTTTCTCTTCCAATGGCTGGATATGTATGGGTTTTTACTGTTTTATGGTACAAGTTTTACTGCTCAAGTCCTAGTAGCGTCCTTTATTAATTAATTTCATGTATGTCGGATCAAAAATGAAAATTCGTACTTTTAGGTTCATGATACACATTGAATTGGTATGGTAGCTAGGCACATGAAATGCTTGTAGGTGTGTGTGTGAAATAGTTTTCGCTTTCTTTATTGTTAGATGCTTTTGATTGACTGGTTGTTGGCTTGTGCCATTCTTTGCCACAACCTTATGTTGGTTATTTCTGGAGATGGGTTGAGTACGTCATGCTATATTAATTTATCATTTTCGTTATCACGCTTAGCCTCTAGTACCATGTTTTCATATTCTTGTCATTTGTTAATGCTACCAACTAGTAAAAAATTCTGTCATTAACAGAGAAAATGCAAATAAAAATATAAATTTTGTTATTTTTTATCTAAAAATATAATTTTTAAAAATTTTAAATTAAGTAATAAATTTTTATTTAAAAAAAGTAAAGATATTAGCTTTAATTTTTTTATTTAAAAATTTATTAGATGGTGATAATAACTTGACAAACTATAATTTTAATCAAAATATAGTACAGCTCATATATTTAAATAAAAAATAATAAAACTCGTGTACTTAAACAGAAAAAAAGTTTATCACCTAATTTAAAAAACAAAAAAATTTATATTCTTAAGTTTAAAAAAATACAAAATTTATATTCTCTCTGTTTATTTTTAGTAGACTTAATTTTTATATCTAATAAAATAAATATATAATAATTTATTGATAAAAGTTTATATTTATTTTTAATTTAGTATTATTTAAATAAAAATTTTTATTTAATATATGTTATAATTATTTATTTAAAATAAAATAAATATATTAAATAATATTTAAAAGATAATTAATTAAATTTAAATATTTTAAATAAAAAGTTAGATCTACTAAAAATGTAGAGAATGGTGCCACGGCCTCAATGTTAACACCCTACTTTTTAAGTATTTGACTATTATATCCCTCATTTGAATCTAACTCACAGCAGTCATTGATGTGACTTGGAGATTAAATAGACACGTTACTAATGATTTTGAGTTCTTAACTGGCAACTGGTAATTGTTCGTAGATGACTGTCTAAAAGACAAAAACTGGCAACTGGTAATTGCAGGTGACTGTTTAAAAGACAAAAAAGGATAAACTAAACAAGAAAATTATGTATCATAGAAAATCATGTTATTCTGAACAGTAAAATGATACTCTTAATTAAAAGATTTAATTACTTTTAAAGAATTAATACAAAATAAAAACTTATTAAAAATATATGAATAATTTTGTTAAAAAAAATTTAATATTTAAAATGTCAAAATATCATAATTTTTATTTTTCTCAAAAAAGTAATGAAAAAACAAAAAATATATATTATGTAGTGCAAAATACATAACTTAAGCCCCTCGCCATTAAAGCCACTAATTTTAATTGTAAGTTCATTAATTTATAGTTTTTTAAATAGTTGATTATGATACTTGAAAATATCTATTTATAAATTTATTTCAATCTATTACTCCATCTATTTTACAGTAATTATCATTTTTTATTTTGAATTTGTCCTAAATTAATTGTTTTTTTTTTATTTTTAAGATAGATAAATACTTTTTCTCATTTTAACCATATCACTATTTATTTTACTTTAACTACTCATCTAATTACAAAAAATCTCTCTTTTATCTTCTATTTCATTTTAAGGGTATTATAGATAAATACAATACTATCACTAATTAAATTCTTAATTTGAGAAAAAAAAGTTAAAAAAAATAAAAACTATTTTAAGAAAGAAGAAATAAATAATAAATATTAATTGTTTGATTAATTATTAGTTTTTTTAATAGTTAATTAAGATAAAAATTTATTAATTTTAGAAAATTAATACTGATTATAACCATAGCTGCCAGCTCGAAATTTGGATGATATTTCCCTCTAATCGTTTTTATTTTACGGTTCAAAATATCAGAGTGCAAAACTGGTGACGCAGGAAAGGACATCGTAGAAGAAAATAAGGAAAAAATGATTGAGATAAAAAAAAAATCTATTGAATTAAAAGTTTCATGGTGGAAGTTGGAATCATCTAAGAAGGGTTTCCTTTTTATCAGCTTCGTTGAAGCTGGAATCAAGTTTGGATTTTTATCTATCAGGCAGAGAGGTTCCTGGGTATTTAATAGACCTGGCAAACATGTCGAATTGGATGGGTTCGGATTGAGTCCTCGAATATCAGATTTTTTTATTAAATGCTAATTTTCATTTCATGATTCAATTTTCATTCTAATCTCAAAAAAAGAAAATGGAAAAATTGCTAATTATATAGGTAGAACTAAAATATATGTCAAATATATAATACCTATACAATATTTAGAATTCATAATTTCATAAAGACATTAACTTTCATTGAAAGAAAA